TATAAAAAAGTGACGCAGTGTAATGCGGGTGGCTCTGTGACGTAATGGAGGAGTAATAAAATGATAAATATTTTAAATTATGTTCAATGTCGCAACAAACATATGCAGTCTTTATGTAAGTTCCTTGAGGAGTACATGACAGACAGACAGTTCTTGTCGAAATACGTCCATAAAAACGAAGAAGAGGTCATTAAATTTTAAGAACGTTTACTCGCAGTTATGAAATATAGTTACAGTCATTTGTGTATTCAGTAAAGGAAACATATGCATAACAAATAACAATTATCATGATACGTTGTTGGCAAAACGTAAGTTCCTTTTGTTAAGTAGCGAATTTCCTTCTACTTTATAATTTTTCAGTTTTTCTCTTTCTGCATTTTTTCAAAAAGTTGTCCTTCAAAAATTCGTTGCCCTTACCACGTGACACCCTCTATCCACTGAAGTTGGCACTAACTTCGCTGCCAAGCGGCGGTCGCTCGGTCGGTATAGTTCGCTTGCGGGCTAAAACCACGGAGTTTGTTTGTTTGTCCTTCAAACACTGTTCTGGTATGAACGCGAAATTTTGCATTCTACGCCTTGTTTTTAAGTAACCTCTTATATTTACGTAAACAATTCTTTATTGTCTTTAGAATGAATTATAAATAAATGATTCACGTATTTAGCCCTTTAACTCAGAGTCATTACCACTTATACCGTCAGTCTCAACATTACAAATTTCTTAATTTTGTCCACAAAGCGCTTCGCGATGAGTGATTGTTTCTCTAAACGACATTTTTATGTACAGCTTTATGATTTCCTTTTGCTGGTTACTTATTTGACTTACATATCTACCACAAAGATATAGGCAGTATGTCCCTCCGAAACGTCACTTCCGCGTCACGTCTTCGTAATCACTGCTGTGAGAACCTCAGGACTTACTGATGATCTTATAATTCTCGTGCATGTAAGATGAAGATTTCTGTCTCCTGGTATATAACGCCGTGTAGTCCGTTATATCCCATGAGATAGGAACCTTCATAACCACTTCAAACCTTACAGAAATTAAGAAACTTTATAAATTCAGCTGAAGTATTATAAACAAGTACAACTGCATTTTTTCTTCATATTAAACCTGTTAATCTAATTAGATACATAAACGCAGCGTTAACTTGTCTGAAAGTTTTAGAGTGGATGAAGTATTTCTCTTCTCTTATCAAAACATTTGGCTAATTACCTCACTTTTTTTCCTTCGCGTACAAAGTTTCTATTGATATTCTCCTTATCTGAAGCGAGTACTGGAGAAAACAATGTAAGATTAATGTAGCGGGACCCCGATACCAGATGTCTCTGTGCTAGAGTTAACTGTATTCCACAAGCTCAGGTAAGTGCCAAGTCCAAATAAGACTTTCTGAGGAGTCTAACTTTGTTCTTACTTAAATAAGTTATTTTTATTTAGTATGTAACATCTTCACAGTCTTTACCACTGGAACGTATTTACAGAGCAGTTATCTAGCAACCGTGTCATTTCATAGCAACTCGGCCGTTGCCTAGTCAATCGCCGCACACAGAAGCACTAGATTAGGAAGTTGTAATTACCGAGACGCTGCCCAGCAATGGTCCTCTCCGCGGCGCTACTGTTCAATATTTCCTGCTTACTCCAGTCATCGCAAATGTCAAATGTACGATATTTGTCTGATATTTTGACGTCTGTCTCGTCTGGCTCCAGCATTTCGGCTTTCAGGATTAGGGGGGTAAAGTAATACACAGACAGCAAAGTGATATCATAAGCGTCCTTTAATTTTTTTTAAATAAGGAAGGTAGGCTAAAATTATTTTTTTTTCGGACGAGCTAACGAGACAGCTTTATATGGAACTTACTGATATAGACTGTTAACAAGCACGAAAATACACGGATATGATTTTGCGACAGAAAGCGGGGCTAAAGCATACAGTACCCAAGAAGACAAGACGAAGCATGCGGACATAAATAAACAAGAAGTTCTGAGAAGAACTAATCGCCTGCTTTCCTTTATACGACACGGACCGTATTTAAATACTAGGCGTCCAACAATTCTTCCAAAGTTTCGTGTGTATTCGTTGTCGTGGCAAAGTTTTAATCGAGCCGTTGCCTAGCAAAGAGAAAGAGTTACACATATAGACACATAGAGTGCCGCTGAGATTGGCACAAATGTCATGATATACATACAAAATTTTTTAAAGACTGATTCAGACATTCAGAAGTTGATAAGGGGAATTCAAAGACATAGAGACAGCATGGTGATTGAATAAACCTACTTTTTTAAAAAAATAAGGAAATTATGCTAAAAATTAACGTGGGCGCAAAGAGACAGAGAGTGGTTAAATAAATTAAATAATTAATAAAGGCAGAGTTTGTACATATAAGTCCTTTATCATATATGATGTGATGAAACAAGTTACCACAATGACCCGAAGGGAAAAAAACCAGGGAAAGCTGTTCATATGAGATCCAATACTGATGCTTCATGGCACTTGTGCTGATAACTGCAGCTAGATTGAAGGCAATTCCCGCTATATTGACGATACTCAGTCTACGCAGGAAGCTTCGGAATCATGAAGTGGGGAACCTATGTGACACTGCGATTCCAACATATCCTTGCAACCCCAGGACTTTACTAGAGGGACTGAGAAAACACTGGAAATTATAGGTCTCCGATTTTCGTTTCTATTTTGAGTTTTCTTCGTATCAGAATCAGTCGCTACCTGACTAACTTCATGGAGCTGAGCCCTCTTGAGAAGCTGTCAGTTATGCAGCTACTCAAGAATTTCTAAAATATTTTATGGAATTCTAAGATTCATTACCTTGTTCACAACAGACCTCCACTGGTCCCAATCCTGAGCCAGAATAATCCAGTCCATACAACCCCAATCTATCTCTCTAATATCCATTTTAATATTATACTCCCACTTACGCCTTGGTCTTCCCAGTGGTCTGTTTCCTTCTAGCCTTCCCAACAATATCCTATACGCATTCCTCTTCGCCATATTCGTGCTACATGCACTGCCCACCTCATCCTCCTTGACTTGCTCATTCTAATTATACTTGGAGAAGAGTACAAGTTAAGAAGATCCTCATTACGCAGTTTTCTCCAACCTCCGGTCGCTTCATCTCTCGCTTCGGGCAAAATATTTTACTCAACACCCTGTTCTCAAACATCCTCAGTTTATGTTCCTCTCTTAATGTCAGAGACCAAGTTTCACACCCATACCGAACCACAGGTGAAACTATTGTTTTGCATATACTAATTTTTACGTTTTTTGAGACAGAAGCGGTCATTGTGTTGCAGATTTCGGAGTTTCTGATAATGATGTCTGGGGCGGTGACCCAGATGTTTTGGTTTATGGGTTGCAGTACAGACAAAGATTTCGAGCGGGATAGAGTAGCTGTAACACCCTATATTCCTATTCGGGATATGCTGGGTTCGAATCTCGGGCCGCGACACCGGTTATTCTGACTGTGGGTTTTCGCGATTTTCCTCAGTCCTTCCATTCGATTTCCTGTACTGTATGTCGATGGGGCCATCGTTGCTTTCATCTATATGCCTTCCAGTTCGTCCAACAGCCTCCCGCTCAGCGCCACACTGTCTGCGGTACGGAGAGCTTCGTGAAACAACCGAACAAGAAGCAGACAATAATAGGACATCCTCTTTTTTTTGGGGGTGGGGGCGGAATCCGAAGGCTTGTTACGATGTTATGACCCAAATTATGTATCCAGTATACAATCTCAAACCGTATATTGTTAAGATCCACTTTTGGTCTACTTTCCTTACTTACTCATCTACTTACTGTTTTATTGCTAGTGGGGTGGGCCTAAGTCCCTTGTACTGCGGTCACTTCTGGCCTCTTGTACCAGCCCTAGATGATAGGTGAGGGTGATTGTGGAGCAATTGGTGGAATGAAGATTGTCATGGGAAACCGAAGTACTCGGAGAAAACCTGCCCCAGCGCCTCTTTGTCCACCACAAATCCCACTTGACCAGACCCGGGATCGAACCCGGGCCGCCGTGATGAGAAGCCAGCGACTAACCGCTTGAGCTATGGCGCGGTATGATCTACTTACTAATGGAGCTGAGCCCTTCTTGAGTAGCCGCCAATTCTGCAGCTACTCAAGAATTTCCCAGCATTTTATGGAACCAGAAGATTCATTACCGTGTTCACAAGAGCCCTGCACTGGTCCCTATCCTGAGACAGATCAATCCAATCCATACCATACCATCCTGTCTCTCTTAGATCCATTGGTATCTTTCCTTCTGAGTCTACTTTCATTTTCAAAAAATAGGAGGGGCGTGCGAGATCACATAGCTGTTTCTTAGTGCGTTCAACTTCATTCTTTTCATATCCTGTGCAGTTCGCATTGTATAAAATGAGATCATCTTGCAGTCTGTATCCCCCCAAAATATTTTAGTTTTCTAAGTGGTCCCTGTCTTGTCAAGGAGGCTTATGTGATCATTTTGCTCTTTGTATGTCTTAGTGTCCCGCTTCCAGAAATTTCGTTTTCTCTGCGGTCCGTGTCGTATGAAAGGAAAGTAGGCAGTTGGTTGCTAAGTTCCAACGTTGCTACTGCCTGTTTTTCATGCATACCTCCGGATTTAAAATTTATCAAAATTAAGTTCTCTTGCTGTCAAAGCCACTAAGATTATTTTCCCAAATTATATGTCGACATTAATTCAGAAAATCAAAATTTCGCATTCCCCGTCTCAAGCCACTGCTTATAACCATCATAACTTATTCACTTTCACATTTTCCTTATCAAAAGGATGACAGGGTGAAGTATGCTAAACTTGTAACAAAATTATACTATTTCTCTCTCCCCCCAATAAAGTGTCTCGCTTTTACTATTATTCTTCTCTTTATCTATTCTTCTACCATACTTTCTATCTCTCTTTATCTCTTTTTCACGAACCTCTTGTTCAAATATCCCATCATTTGACTCTGTGTGCTCCATTTACTTGAAGTGGCCCGCCAATGAGCCATAAGGACCTACCTGTGCTTCTGGTGGTCTCGCCTGCCACTTGTGGTGTCCCTGTAGCTTGTGTTCTTCCCGTGCTGGTCAGTCTCATACACGCAGACGGCAGTCTACAGTTTGCGTGGTGTCGGAGTGCACGCAACACCCAGTTCTTATCTCGGTTTAGGATAAAACAAAAACCGTATAAGCAAAACAAAGAAAATAAAAAATAAATATTCGAACTATCTCAGAATAACCTAATTTCACTATGCTTCAAGTCCTATACATCAGCGTGTGAAAAAACAGTCGCCTTCAGTGAATTCTCTAAGAGGATGTTGTAGTCCTCATTTAAGCCTTCTCGTCCGTCCGTCTATCTGTCCTTACGAGCTGGAATCCTATCCCTATACCCGAACCAACCTCCAACCCCAACTGTCGCAAACCTCGCCGACACATTCCACACTTTCCTACACCCCCCCTCCCTGTTACCATCATCCTTTTCAGCGCAAGCGCATTGGGCGCCAGTAATCCCCTCTCTCCCTCAAGACCCTTACAGAATCCATCGCCTCAACGAGAGGTTGTAGAGCTTCCAACTTCATGACGCCCGCCGTCACCTTCTTGCGTCGGCGTACGTGACGTTATGGTTCTTTCATTGTTACGTACCCTCCCAGAGCAGTTGACCGTGCGGGGACCGTGAAGGGAGGGTGGTCACTGTTTCACTGAGTAACCTTCTTTCGGGCAACGTTGACTTCTGCATGAATATTTAATCTTAACCCCTCTGTGCTTGTGTTTAACCGTTCTTCTCACAATATTTCCGTGGTGACATATATTTCCCGCTGATAAAAGAAACACGAAATGTTGGGAGACGTCCACAGACATGTATTCACATGAACTTCTCAAGCACCAAGCGGATTCAGACCATAGATATCAGTTTTGTGGAGCAATGTACTTTGTGTACGAGCCGGGATAGCTCAGTCGGCGTAGCGATTGGCTGGACGACCGGGTTTCGATTCCCGGAAGGGACAAGGGATTTTTCTCCACTCCGCAGTGTCCACACCGGCTCTGGAGCTCAGCCAATGGGTACCGGGTGTGAATATGACCACTCACCTCCATCTAGTGCTGAGGTCAGGAATATTGGAGCTATACCTCCACTCCCTCATACGCCTTCATAGCGCGGTTCTAATTTAATTAAGCACAAGGAAAACTTTAACTTTTTCCTTTAATGTAAAACATTGAATGTATCTACATAATCGCCATTATTGCATGGTATTTAATTACTTACAGGGATAATTTTACCTCTACTCCTTGCACAAGAGAAAAAACATAAAAAAGGTATTTATTTGTTTAAGAGTTTATTTACGCTACCAGTACCTCAAACTACGAATGATTTTCTTAACCTGAAGCTGATCTAATAGCAATTTAATTGGTGGTCATTTATTCATTCATTAGTCGACGACTTAACGGCCTTTTATGGGGCACTGACCGCTTTGTCACTTTCGTAATCCTATACAGTCGGTAGGACCCCTTAGACGGATGATCAGCCCGTCGCAAGACCTCTACCTACATACAGGACAGTACAATCACAGAATAAATATACATAGACATCCATACCGCGAGTGGAATTCAAAGACAGTTCATGCCTCAGACCGCGCGGTCACTGTGNAAAACAAAAAAAAAAAAAAAAAAAAAAAGCAACGTATCGTCCTGACAAAGTTCTTCGAACCAGAGGGCACATGCAAGTATACTACAAGGAAGAAACATGCTGTTTAACGTTAAATATAGCCGTACACGTCGACAGAAACGTATTTCCCACAGACCTATATTTGTGACAGCCAAAACAAATGCGTACCTCAGAAAGTAAGTCTGTCCCTATGTTTAATTAAGCACCACGCCGTGAAAACATATGGAGGGGTGAAGGTGTCACTCCAGAAGTCTTAGCCTTAGCACTAGATGGAGCTGAGTGGTTTGCTTCACGCCCCGGACACTTTGCCTCCTGTACCCATTTTATAGTTGACTTCATGGGTAGCAGAGTCCGTCCGGACGCTGTGGAGAAGAGAAAAATGTGTTGTCCCAACCGGCAATCGAACCCCGGGTCGTCTGTCCTCCAGCCCACACCCTGGCCGCCTTACCCACCGATATATGCAGGCCGTTAAATGCATCTTCTCTCTCTCTCTCTTTGTTTTGTTAATATTCTTCTCCACGTGGATGAGACGGCGAAGTACTGTTACTGTAGCAACGTGATGAAGCTGTCAGTTGCACACTTCGCGTTCACCCACTTGCTGATAATCGATCTGATTCTTCTCCACTCTGCCTCGCCTTCTTTTTTCTCAGTAGCTTTTTTGATCTTTTCGCCCTCTGCAGGATTTGAGGTTCTTGCAGCGATGGTTACCTTCTGGGATATAGCGCAGTGTAGTACGTTGAAATTCAACCGGCGTCGGTTTCGTTCTGGGATATAACGCCGTGTAGTACGTTGAAATTCAACCGGCGTCGGTTACCTTCTGGGATAAAACGCCGTGTAGTACGTTGAAATTCAACCTGCGTCGGTTACCTTTTTGGATATAACGCCGTGTAGTTCTTTGAAATTCAACCGACGTTGGTTATCTTCTGGGATATAACGCCGTGTAGTCCGTCGAAATTCAACCTGCGTCGGTTACCTTTTTGGATATAACGCCGTGTATTTCTTTGAAATTCAACCGGCGTCGGTTACCTTCTGAGATATAACGCCGTGTAGTTCTTTGAAATTCAACCTGCGTCGGTTACCTTCTGGGATATAATGCCATGTAGTATGTTGAAATTCAACCGGCGTCGGTTACCTTTTTGGATATAACGCCGTGTAGTTCTTTGAAATTCAACCGACGTTGGTTATCTTCTGGGATATAACGCCGTGTAGTCCGTCGAAATTCAACCTGCGTCGGTTACCTTTTTGGATATAACGCCGTGTAGTACGTTGAAATTCAACCGGCGTCGGTTACCTTCTGGGATAATACTCCGTGTAGTACGTTGAAATTCAACCGGCGTCGGTTACGTTCTGGGACGTAATGCCATGTATTCCGTTGGAAGTCAACAGACCTTTAGGGGGAAATAGCATCTTCATCTTCAGTGTCGAAGAGTACTTGAGACAACGAACAAGCATGAAGCAAGTTTTTTGTTTCTGCATACTTCATGCTGGCTTGTGGCTTGGACCCTGAAGATGGATGCGATTTGTTCCTTCCAAACGTTGGTTGAATTTCAGCGGACTACACTGCGACGTACTCCAGAAGAGGCACTCTTTTTCTCTTCCTTTGTCCTCGTTTCTCTCATAGCCTCATTATTCGCTGTCCTGATACCGTACGTTCGATATTCGACTCTCATCCTTTGGGACACGGGTAATGAGAGAGCGGTAGATGTCAACTGGAGAGTGCTGCCGTGTCAGAGAGCGCCACAACTCTCCTCTGGCAGAAACAGGACGGGAGGCTGTGGATTGGATGCATGTAGCTAGGAGAGGGTCCGCTTGTATGGCCTTGTGAACGCGGTAGTGAACCTTCGGGTTCCGTAAAATAATGATAATTCCTTGAGCAACTACTAGCTTCTCAAGAAGGAATCTCGCTTCATGGAGTTAATTAGTCAGAAAACCTTGTAAGACTCGAAGTTCGCATGGCGGTGACTATGAAGTTCATCGTCGTCTATATCTTCATATAATCGGCTAGATCATTAGCGGAATGTTTCATGTCTCATTGGCTACGTTCAGTAACGAACTCGAATCCTTTTAAATACCAGGCCAATACACTAGTGAAATCGTTAGAGTTTTTAGCATACAAAATGTCTCGGATTCTGGCCCAACCCTTGTTATTTCTAATGTCGAAATGAAAAATAATATAAATATGTCAGTATAGTGACATCATCATCATCATCAGTAATCTGTCAGGCGACAGGTCCACAGTCTCTTCCAAAACAGTTTCTCCACTTAATGCGATCTTCTGTTTTTGGAAAGAGATTATCCAGGAAAAGTGATAATGTGGTAGTTTTTCCATTTGCTTTCCACATCGCAGTACAACAGCCGTTCAAACCACTCTGGTCACGCCTGTTGCTATACGAACTTGAACCATCTCGAGCATCATTTGCTCTGTGCTTCAAGTCGCTGCTGATGACGCTGCTTCCGACATCAGTTTTTGGTGTCTCTCTTCGTCTGATGCCTACCCTTTGACCTGTCCAGCAAGGGAGGCCCTGCCAGTAGCTACGCTACCGCTGGTATAGCTCTCAGGGTCCTTGGCATACTCAAACCCCCTCACCACGATAAGGTGGAGACACCAAGGAGGGGGGGGGTATAGTGACAACAGCCGCCTAATCAGGCGAATAATGATACCTCCCGGAACGTCGTATATATAAAATATATCTTAGATAATGAGCAGAGACAAATGTGATATTGGTATAATGAAAATTTGAGGTTATGTTAAGAGTGCTGGTTTTTGCTGACGTATGCAGTCACTTCAGATTATTTTAAAACCGTAAATTAACCAAGATCCCATGGTTATATACATCCCAACAACGGCTTATAGAGCTTTAACGTAATAGATATTTTCTTGGTACTGGTAAAGTGATCCCTGGGCTTACTTAATTAAACACAACACTTTCAAGATGTATGGCTGAGTGGAGGTATAGCTCACCCATTCTTAACCTTGGCACTACATGGAGGTGAATGGCCAGCTTCACGGCCGTACCTCCTTACCCCGTAGAAACAAGAAACACCCCCCGGTATCCATTTTGTATGGAAGATTGCACTTTCTGAGTGCTTATTAAAATTTGTAATATTGCTGACCCGGTCACGGTAACCGAGCGCTCTAAGGCATGCAATGTCTTCGCTTGCTCGGCAGCAGGGGTCATGGGTTCGAATCCTACTCAGGGCATGGATGTTTAATGTTTGTGTGTGTGTGTGTGTGTGTGTGTGTGTGCGCGCGCGCGCGTTCTTCTGTGTTTGTGTACAGTTAGAGGCCTTGTGACGAGCTGATCACCCGCCCAATGAGTCCTACCGAATGTCTGAAATCTGGTAAACCGAAGTGAAACGGAGAGTTTCATGGAGCTAGGCCAAGGCCCAAATTGGGGCCGTAGTATCAAAGAAAGAAACATTGCTGAACTCAGAATGGTATTTCCATACACTGTTAGTAGTAAAAATTCGTTTTAGAACAAAACCACGAATTGTTCGTATCTTTCGATATCAGGTTATCATGGCCATGATAATGATGATTATTGTTTTGTAGTTTGTGACGTCGTAAAATGTGGTATAAGTTCACAATAGCGTCTATATATTCAAGGTGGTTGGGTGTGGATGAAAGTGGTAAGGGTATAGGCAGAACGAATATGGAACCAGCGAAAAATATAAAGAATAATGAGAGAAAATTCTCTTATTCTCTCCTGTCTTGAAGAAAGAACTTCAAAGGGCCGCTG